CACACACACACACACACTGGACTATATTGGCAGCAGAGCCACATAATTCAGTGTCTGTGGGAAGTGGCTGCACAATGAAATGGCCTCGTGTGTTTACGTTTGCGGGTGTTGATGACAGGTATAAATCTGTCCTCATGAGGACAACAACCGCCGGAGACTTCCGACTGAAGGTGCGTCAAGCATCCAGCACGATACATCATAAATGTCATTAATAAAAAAAAACGAAGACAAAGACACAGGCCTTAATGATGCTCATGGATGCAGGCTAAATGTCCGTTAAGCACATGTATGAAAGTCAAGAAGTCATGTGACAAATAAATCAAAGACCTTTTTATAGACCCTCCAGCTTACAGCTAATTTATGTATAGTTCTTTCTTTCTTTCTTTCTTTCTTTCTTTCTTTCTTTTGGCCTTCTATCGGATAATAGGGGAACTTATTCTTACCCCTGCGCACTGTTGATATATCGGTAATAATGGCCACCGCGTGTTTATAAACTGGATAATAGAATAATTAATAATTGCCAGAATAATCAAGCGTTCGTTCATAGCATATTTTTTAGCTTGTAAAGCACCACGCTGTCCTTAATTATTTAACAAATACCACTGGGCTTATAAGCTTTTATTCTAATTCAGATCAAACAGGGCAGATAATTATTTATCAGAGAAATAATACAAAAATAGCCTAATAGATATAGAGATCACAACAAATATCAATATAAATATAACTACACAGAAATCACCATTTAGAGAAAAACTGAGGTCGTTTCAATGGACAACTTATTACAGATTTTAGACCTATAGCGGAGATCCGATGAGTGTGATTAACAGAAGGTAAAAGGGAGTTGGTTTTGAGTGAATGAACCTTCAGCTGTGATTTGTTTGGAAGAAATTCAAACACACTAAACGGGAACTTAAACACCAACAAATAACAGTTGCTTTTAATGTTCAACGTTCAATATTATGATTATTACAGCTCATTTTAAATGTTTTATGACATGAATAGAACCTCATCTGTTACTCTGAAATAGTTAAGAGGCCAACAACTCTACCGAAAACGTTTTTATGCGTTGGTTTAATTCACGAGTATTATTATTATATTATAATGATTATTATATTATTTAAATGTTTACCTAAATCCACACACAGGAGGAAAAAACACAATATTGTTTTAATCGAACTTAGAAGGAAGGACATACTGAGCACAAAAGTAAAGATAATTTTTGAAATCTCTGGTTATTATTACACAGAGCCGCGGAACGTCTCATATCTAATATATTAATAAATATTAAAGGTCATTTGTTTGGTCAAATTTTTGTAAAATTAAGTTTCACTAAAATAATTTTCCACGTTTGTTTTTGGTTTGGAGAGAGAGAGCGAGAGAGAGA